AATATAATAATTTAATAAAATTCTTGATTTAATGATTATTAAATACTAAGTAAAAACACATTTTTTTCTGATGGTGTCATCACACGCGTCATGGCAGCGCCCAGCGTCATGGGCTGGGTGCACTCGTCTTGGATCTGAGCAGAAGCGGCCCACGGAGGCGTTCAAGAAGCCCTCAAGTTACTCCTCATTGAGTCATCTCTGAAAGTAGTAATCGTTTTAATCGTAATTAATTGTTATTCAACTCATTATTACGTCTTTTTTTGTAATGTTAACATTTTAATTAAATATTACATCTATACGTGTTTTGTAAATCCAGGGCTAAAATAATGAAATGAGATGATACTTAATCTTTCATCTGTAACGCAACCCCCCCTTATAACATGCATGTCTTTGGGAAAACAGGCTTCATACAGCGCGATTCGACTCACGCGCTGTTTTTCAGGAACGCATGCCCCACGTTATGCGAGGCACGCTTATATATACTATAATACATAATTTGAGTAGATTTCATCACCGTCTTATGCATGGAAGAAAATACCGACCAATGAAAGTGTAAACCGGCACATATCTACGTGGCACGTTTTAAATGTTCATCTTCCTGTGTGATAACTGTAGCGAATGCGAAGGGTAAAACAAAACCTCTGGTTCCTGATTCTGCTCTTGAGCATCAACATCACAAGGGAACTCCAATAGTAGATATCAGAAATGTTTAACCCATAGAGATAATTGACTTGCCCTTTACAGCACCGTGCTAGGGCTTGCTGCATGGCAGTGGTGGTGACCAGTGCTGCTCATGATGGAAATTCCATTCATTGAATTGTGTCAATTTAGCGCCAGTCCAGTTGCTGCCTCAGTGCGTTATTAATACTGCAGATGATGTGCGTGAGTACTGGCTAAGATTATTCTAAGACTGGATGCTGCAGTGGTGTAATGGTTAGCACACACACCACCGAACTTGCAGTCCAGACGTCGCGACTGCTATTCCATATTCCTAGCACGATAGTTTATAGAATGGGGCAAGTTTAATAGATCCTACCCCACTCATCCATCCACACCGCATCTGTCCACCCAGAATTAGAAATGGGTAGAGCACAGTCAATCTGCATGCAGGTCGTGTGTCGTGGGATAAAGTGTGGGTACTCCCCCCCACTCCTTTCCAAGGAGTATGGGCGAGCCGGAAAGAGTTGGCCCTCTCGAGGGGGCTCTCCAGAGCTTCCCTCTAGTTCAGTGGCACCCCCTGGGGGTGCGAGATGCCCTTTTTGGGGGTGCGAGACATGGCTAGATTTTTTTGAGAAGGTAAATAATCGAAAAGACAAATTAAGGACGGGCACGTAAGTACAACTACTTTGTTTCATCAAACCTATGTATTTATTAGCATTATAATGTGTTTTTTTAAGGATTGAGAACAGCCTGTAGTAAAGGTTAAGTACCACTGCTCTAGTTGGAGGCCCTTCCGCCAGCAGTGGCATGAGCGTGACATTTCAGGGCTGCATCTTTATTTACTTATTTTTCATTAAAAGAACATATCATGTGATAAAAAAATGGGAGAAAAAAAGTTTCGTCTTTCAAGCAAAATGGAAAGGTGTAAATTATAAGGAAAGAAATCACAATTCACCAAATGAATTGTGAACAATCCTATCCAAGACACACAATCCCTGCCACCTGTATCAATGAAAATAATTTTGCTGCTGGATTTTAAGGGGGTTTTTTTGGGAGGGGGGAGAGCATACAACGTTGTCAAATCTTGCTATCCAAACGATGATTTAAATCTTCTTGTGTACAACCGTCACGTATGTGTAGCAATTGTGCTGCCCGATAGTGATTCATTTGTATCTTGGCTTCAGATGAAAATACGTGGCCTCTGTGAGTTCCCCCTGCCCCTAATTTTGGTTATGAGCGTGGCGCATAGCATTCTGCACATCGGCAGAATAGCGACCGCGTTTACGTGCCCCCATGCCGAAACACGCACGTGTAACCTCACTCGCGAGTGGCAGCCATGTCGCGAGGCCCCGTTGAATGCAATGTGGTGCGTTTCAGACGGACGTGCGATTCAATAAGGGACCGAGACAACACCCACGAGTTACATAGCCAAACGTAGAACGCATGGAATAAGGAGCGAATGTGAGGAGATGTGGAAACGGTCTAAATTGCAAGGAAATAATTAAGCAAAATAAATAAGGATTTTAACGGAGATAAAGTTAATGGAAATGGGAGAGAGATACAGCACATTTTTTTGTTAAGTTGTGAGATGTGAATTGACTGAAAGAGTTTAAACTGTACACCCAAGAACACCATTCACGACCGGATTTGTAAACACCAAGCCCCAGTGTTCTGGTGATTTATAACCATGTCAGAGTACCGCTAGCCAGAGGTCCTGCCATCCCCAGGTTTGTAACTGGAGATGGAGATTCAACCACCCTTGATTAATCCCCCTTCCATAAGCGCAGTGAGGTGCTGTTTCAGTGTAGTCAGCCTTTTGTCACCGACAACTCCACAGGTAACACCGTAATATTAAATGTAGTTGCTTACTCGAAATGACGTATTCCAGCTCTGAGAATTAAAATACTCATAATAACATCATATATAGAGCTCTTTGTTCAATCCACTGCTGGATTAAGGCCATCCCACACTGGGCGTTATTTTACCATACCGGCAGAGGAGTGATTTAGATAGGAGGCGCCTCGCCAATGATGTTAGTCATTACAGAAATCAAACTCTTGGGTTGCCCGGTTACAGCTCAGTGCCCTTTATACCTATCAACATCGCAACCGCCAATGTGTTTGAAGAGAGGATTATGAATTCACTTAAAAAGTGGTTCTGTCACATCATCTCCTGGGGTCAATCTTTCACGGTGCGTGCGTTGTTACTTGTCGAGATCCGATTGCTCATGTAATTGAATATAATTGGAGATATATATATAAAAAAGGATGTTCTTGAACAAATTCTAACAAATTGTAAAAAAAATAGAACATCAACTGTAATTCGAGTAGCCAATTACAAAGCAATGGTCAAAAACAATTGTTTTACATTTAACAGATTTCATATATTCAAACTGCTGAACTGCAACCCGGACATTGCGCGAGTTCTAATAATGATACACTCTCCTTATAGGCTACCGTATGTATACGGAAATCCTATGATCACCGCAGTGGAAAGTCAAATCATCTGAGCATTATTAACGCGTCACTTTTTAAGACCTACCACATGACTGATAGCTCATTTCCCGGCTGCTCTCTTCGGGGGTGTAAACTCTCTGAGCTTGTGGCATGTCACATCTAGCCGTGTTCCATTTTCACAGCTGATGTCATTCCCACAGAGAGAGAGAGAAAAAAATTTAATCTCTTAAACGGTTGACAATTTAGCTCGTCGAGACTTTTACACTCACAATTAATGGATTTACCAGCTGCACACACACATAAGTTGACCGCCGCCACCCAAAACTTATACACGCACGGTCGCCAAATTTGGGCCCCCCCCCAATTATAATTGCTCGTATTTTAAATCGTACGATCATGTGTGCGTGGAAGTGAAAGGAAAAACAGGTGGGTGAATTGGGAATACATTCCAACATTTTGGATCAACGGGGAAGAAAAAAAACCCGGAATTCGGATTGATCATAAAAAGTGCGCCGTCATGGGAAATCACGTCCCTAATTTTACATCCAACTCCACGAATGTTTTCCATCAAAAGTATTGTCATCACGCGGCGTCGTCGGGTTATGTCGCTTTCGTTAGCACCGAGAGGCATCCAGTGACTAGACGACGGTCGTGTAAAAACCGTCAGAAAATCCTAAATCGCAGAGATGGCATTGTCTTGCTGAGTCCACGGCCAATCGTAACAAACCGTCTTCACTGTACAGAAACGAAGCAGCCAGGCGGTGCGTTGGCTGCTCCAGCCACTACCTTTGATGTACCATGTAAGGCAGACCACAGCAGATGTTGACACGAACAGCGTGTATAAATTGAGCCAGATTATACGAGGAGCTTTACGCATGGCATGTACTGTAAGTGGCACGTATTGTCTGTGTAGGTATGTATGTTGAACTTCTTTCACACCATACATCGGCAACCATGCTAATCGGAGGTGCGGGGGAAGGACAACAAACTAAACACAGTTCTAAAGAAATTATTTTCAATCTACATTTAAAAGCGCACAGCTCCAGTAGCTTCCTAATATCAGAAGAGCGATCCAGACAGCCGCAGAAGCGCATCTGAAAGCGTGCCATGCGGTGGCCGTCTTTGTTCAATGGCTAACTAAAAGCCACTGCAAGGATGACTGGAGTTTTGCGTGAGGGTTTATGCTCCTTGACGAGATCAGCAAGGTATTGTGATTCATTTGTGGCAAGCGCTTTGTGTGTGTAATGAGCGCGACCTCGTAACGTATTCTTTGGGCAACCGGAAGCCAATGCAGCCCGGCGAGCACGGGACGGACACGGTGGGAACTCACAGTAAAAGGCTCTTGCAGTGTCGCCCATGTGCCTAATGGTGCATTGCAGCCCTGTGGGTCACTTAAGAGCGCAGCAAAAAACGGCTTACTCTGCAGGCATTCTAATGTCGTCTTATTGAAAAACGTCATTGCATATGATGCTGGCACGAGTTCACATCCTGCCCTTTTCTCCTGTTGGGAGTTTGTTTTTTGTTGTTGTTCACTTAGCCACTCCTTCCTGCCGAAGCGTGCCGCACATAAATGTCAGGAGGGCTAGCGCGTCGGTTGTCAGTCAGCGCGATGTCTCATTGCGTGCCACGAGTTGGGCACATTCACCGCATCACCCGCAGGTCGACGACACGGACTGTGATGCAGTCAGTCGCGTGTTGTCACGTGATCTGATAATGGTGTTTTAAGGCATCGCATTTTAAAGAGTCCTGACGGATTTTGCCTTCGCACAAAGGAAGTGCAGCTATAGTGGAAATAAAATTACACAAAAGCGGCTGGCATTATTAGGTATCCTCAGCTGTTCATTTGAAGCTATTCCTGCAGTTAAAGAACGGCTGAGCACTTACCATTGTGCGAGTCATCTCCGTGGTGGGAGCCCTGCTCTGGACAGGCTGACACAGATGTCCACAGCACCTGGAATTAGAAGAAAATGTGCACATCATCATCATCATTCAGAAGCCATGTGGGTTTGTGGGTATGCCAGTGATGCTTGAGCAATCAACTCTCTCCACTTCCCATAGTCATTTGCAACTTGCACAACGCAATGTCTGTCACCGGGGCTCTCTGTTCCGCAACCGTTTTTTTTCCCTCCACATTTACAAACGTGTGTTTAGCATATTTGACTGCAATACATTTCCACTTCGTTGAACTATCATTCGTGATGGCTTCTGAAAAAGAGCTACATCGCTCAGTGGGACCTTACCCTGTAAAAAAATAAATCGATTATAGTTTATCTAGCTGCTCCATGGTCAACCTCTCTCACTCATCCCTACGAGTGGGCCCTGCGGGGCGGTATTGGAAAGTGCATCTGGTATTGGAGCAACATTGCCCAAGCCATTGTAGCTTCCTCCTCTTTTCTACTGACAAGTCATAGTTTATGTACACCCCCCCCCCACGCCCCATTTTTTAAGTCACTCCCCCCCCCTCAAATTGACAACTGATTGTGACTTATGTTTGCCCAGGGCTTCTTATACAGAATATAAACGTCTTACACGATGACTGATAAATAAAGGCTGGATACCGTTTGTATCAGAAGCTTGTGGCCAGACGTTAAAACATTCTTATTGAACGAGCATCCTGGCATATGTGGGCAAACGTCCAATTTAGCATCCACACACTTCCAGGTGAGGCAGCCAGTAGCTCTGATAAATGTGACAAAATTGTTCAATAACTCATGATCTTCTCGTCTTGAGTTACTCGTAGAGTCGGCACCATAGCGCATTTTATTGATGAATCTTCTCTTCCTGGAGTCTAGGAAATCAATACACTAAATAAATATAAAACTTAGAAATAAATAGCCAAAGCAAATCAATAAAAGGCCCCAGACAAGTATGGTGATGTATGTGTCTCTGTGCGAGTCTATTGGTCTCTATGCGAGTCTATGTATGTATGCTGAACTTCTGTCGCACCGTGCGTAGCCAACCGCGATCATTATCGGAGGTGTGGGGGAAGGACCACACACTAAACACAAAAAGCAGTTCTAAAGAAATGAGTTTTAAATTTAGATTTAAATGTGCAAAACTCCAGTGGCTTCCTAATATCGGAAGGAAGAGTGTCCGTCACAATCCCAGGTTGCTCGTAATTTTTTTTAAATAAGTAAGTTAAAATGCGATTGTTTTCATGCTAAAAAAACATATAATCCATATTTGTGGGTTTTTTGTATTTAAATACACACATGTGTTTACATTAATGTTTGGGTTGAGATAATATAGTCAAGACAATGCACATTTTTTTCATGTTTATCCCATCCACAATCTACGTGGTTTGTTTTGTCGACGTGATGCATTCTCAATTATTCATTTGGGATATGAATCACTCAGGATATGAATCATAAGATAGGTTCTGTAAAGCGATAATTGTACATTCGAAGATGACTCATTCACTCCCGACAATTATAATCATTTACGTTGTTAATCTGATTACCGGCCTTTTGTCATTCATTTATTTTACAAAGCACATATAAAGGTCTCTGCTAGGATAATATCAAAGATGTAATGCACGTCCGAGTACATAACTAGTCTATTTTATATTAAACGCAAATATTGTGGAAGGATTCCGTGTACGCATGCTGTCTGCACACGTTAGTGTTATAAAAAATTATCACATTACGTTGTAATCAGCAAATTTGCAACAATTCTAGATTTGAAGCTTTCGTGACTGCAAGGATCCATACTCTTTGGTTCTAGTCGGTAATTTTCAATGGTACAGTAAAAAATTCAAGTAGTGGTATCCCAAACTTTCACAGCAGCTTATTTCTCTCCAACCACTCACTCTATTCACTCCACTCACTCTACTCACTCCACTCCACTCACTCTACTCACTCCACTCACTCCACTCCACTCACTCACTCCACTCTACTCACTCACTCTACTCACTCCACTCACTCCACCCACTCCACTCACTCTACTCACTCACTCCACTCCATTCACTCCACTCACTCACTCCACTCACTCCACCCACTCTACTCACTCTACTCACTCACTCCACTCACTCCACCCACTCCACTCACTCTACTCACTCACTCCACTCACTCCACTCACTCCACTCACTCAATCCACTCACTCCACTCACTCACTCTACTCCCCCCCCCGTCATGGTCCCCACCCGCTCCTGGTCCATCATGGCCCATGCACCTCCTACGTACATCGTGCTCATTTTTATGCTAATTCCTTTGTCAAAGCGTTTTGCTTCCTCCCACACAGCTTAAAGGACGCGACCTGGGCTTGGCTGTTTTCACTCCAACGCTGTCCTCATGACAGCACGGTCCCTTCACCTGATGAAGGCCACTTGTGTTGTGGCCGAAACGTCGTGATTTTTGTTATTTTATTTTTTACCTACGTGACTTTACCGAATAGAACCAAATTTGCAACAAATTCTATGCACGCTTTCTGTTGTCAATAAATGCCTTATCTTTAATTATGAAGCAATGTGCAGCTTGTAATAGCTTGTATCATAATTACAGAAAGGGCCATTGCCTACGAACATCAGACAGTTAACCAACAATGGTTCAAGCAAGCGTGGCTGCGGATGAGACACCGAGTGTCAAAACCGGTCTAGAGACTTGCTCATCTTGAACCAATATTGCCAATGAAGATCCACTCCCAGAGAGCCGTTTGTCCCGATGGCTTGTGCAAGCAAAATATATTTTTTGTTTTTTTAATGTGGAGGGACAAACACGAGAAAGAAGCACCATTTATCCTGCATTATGGATATATCGGTATAAAAATACGGATTGTAAATTAAGAGTAACTTGGTATGGGTTCATTAAAAAACTTGTGGACCAATGATGGGATTTATCCTGTGCCTTAAATTGTTTATTACGTGAGAATAGTTTTTTCCCATTTTTTCCGGCAACAAAACATGTGTTAAGATGTTAAAACACCAAACTGAAACCTTTTACAAGGAATCATGTCTGCATTAACCACAATTCTTGTGGTCAGAATTCAAACAAAAACATCCTCTGGTCTAACACCGTTTCATACTCGGCTCAAAAGAAAGCTGTCTCTGGTGTGGACCAATCAGTTTCAAAGACAATGCCACGTATTATCCGAGTTTTTTGTTTGCATTCTGACCACAAGTATTGTGGTTAATGCAGACATGATTCCTTGTAAAAGGTTTCAGTTTGGGTGTTTTAACATCTTAACACCTGTTTTGTTGCCAGAAAAAAGGGGAAAACCTATTCTCATATTTTGGTACTGGCAAAGGAGGTCCCATGCTGTTTATTACGTGTTTATATGCATTTGTGTCAAGGTCTTTTCTCCAGGACAGTCGGGCTCTGCTAAGCGTAGAATTTGGCTCTGCCAGCCATGTGTTTGATAGCGTTCCACATTCCATTACAGTGAACTCATGGCCTCAACACAGCATTCTTCTGTTGTTTATTTAACTTTTCCCTCCATTAAGGCTTCGGTAGCCTCTTTCTCTGCATGTAGCACGTTTTTGTTGTTGCAAAGGATCCACTGTTGTTTTAAAAAAAAAGTTATTTGGAACAGGTTGCCTATTTCAGTCAAGACGTTACTGCAAGAGAGGTTTACGTCTCCCCTGAAGGGAAAAAGTTGGCAGGGCACAGCTGTGGCATCCCGTGGGTGCACAAGATGTCCACATACAGTACTGTCTCAACAAGGTGAACGTGAAGGAGCGTGCGTATTCAGTTGATAAGTGACACTCCCAGAAACCTGCTTCAGTCCATGGGTTGTGAGGAGCACTATGCTTCGCGACCATCTCCGGCGACCACAGTTCGATTCCTGCTCACGGCCACCACCACCACCAACACCACCACCAAGTGACGATTATCTACGCCGGTCCTGGGCCTCCCCTAGGTCGACTCGGCCTCAAATGAGCACCCGGGGTGCGGTGTGTGTAAATATCGCGACGAGGGAGACAAAGGCGGCCGGGCGTGGTGTTGGCCACCCACCCCCTCGTGTGTGCCGTGCCAGCACTTGCCCCCAACAGTCCGTTAAGGCTATACGGGGGACCTTTGTCTTGTTACGTATTGAGTTTAAAGCAATTGCAGTGCATCATCACCTGATGACGGACGCTTGTGTTGCGACCGAAACGTCGTGTTCTTTTATTTATTTTTTCTATCTACGTGACTTTACCGAAAGAACCAGAGAGTATGCAATCGTAGTTGTTCCCTTCAACAGTTAATTATTCTATCACAGTATATCCATTACAAAGTAAATGTTAACTTTTAAGCAATTCGAATCTTCAGTGTGAATGTTTTTTTTTTAAACTGCGTTCTAACTTAAACGTAACGTAGAGGATTTGAAATAAATACGCGACGTTCTATGGCATGGTTACATTTAACACAACTTCACGAAGCGACCCTCCTTAACACAAGTACCAATTCCCACGTCTTTATTTGAACCCGAGCAACGTTGGAACTGCTGGCCGTACTGTAAGTTACGAAGTGAAAAGTACGCAAGGCAAACACGGCAAAGTGTTCCACATGGCTGATCTCGTCCAACATCTGGGAGACTAAAGCGGTTAAACTTCGTCCCGACAGGTCTGTTCCTTTCACCTGAAGAAGGCCACTTGTGTTGTGGCCGAAACGTCGTGGGAATTTTATTGTGTTATTTTATTAATTTATTATTTTATTCTCATTCTACGTGACTTTACCGAAAGAACCAAAGAAGGCTAAAGCGGTGTTTTCTTTTTTTTTGTAAAGCCCGGAATCGTGGTCAAATTGGGCGACCACCATGCACAACAGGGTGCTATAGGCTGCGGTGGGCTATGCAGTGGGCAGCGGAATGCGTGGGTTTCAACTAACTCACTTCTCTCAACCAGCTTAAAAGACGCTGCGAATCTTAGCAGCGCTCATTGTAGCTCTGTCGTCCCGACAGGTTTGTTCCTTTCACCTGAAGAAGGCCACTTGTGTTGCGGCCGAAACGTCGTGAGAATTGTATTGTTTCATTTTATTATTGTATTCTCATTCTACGTGGTGACTTTACCGAAAGAACCAAAGAAGATGAATCCTTGCAGTCACGAAAGCTTTAAATCGAAATTTAAAATCCCTTTGCTTCCGCACTCGACCCTTACTGAGCTACCCGCATAAGCCAACCCAATCTGGTGCAGTGCGGTCAAGCAATCATTGCCGTGTTTTGTGTTTTACGAATACTGTAACAATACAACGAAATAAATGCAATTTCTGTGTTTTTCCTCTCCATTTGCAGACACCTTTCTGAGCTTTTGAGCCGTCGAGTTTCCCCCCTTGCAAGAGAACCATGATCTTGCAGGGGTCTCATCTGGTTAAACTAAAGCCTCTATGTATATGTACGCTGAACTTCTTTCGCACCGTACGTAGCCAACCGTGCTAGTCGGAGGTGCAGGAAAGAGTTATAGAACTGAACTGATTATTAAAAAAAACTGACATAGCTTTACTCTTTGGTTCTTTCGGTAAAGTCACGTAGAAAGAAAAGTAATTAAATAATAATAGAATACGACCTTTCGATTGTAACACAAGCATCCATTATCGGGTACGAATGAATGAGAAAACAAACATGGAAAACTTATAAATGCAATGCAATACAACCCAGCGAGTCGGGCTAACTCAACAGCAGTCAACGCCCTAGCTGGTTGATTAACGTTCTTCCAAAGAATGCTAAATTTGAAAGAGAGACACAACACAGACACGGAGACACACAATCAACCAGGTAGGATGTTCACCGAAAGAACCAAGGAGTAATTCCTGCAGTCACGAAAGCTTCGAATCTAGTTTGGCGTAGCTTTATTAATGACGGGCCAATGCACCGATTGAGACCATGAGTCCCTCTTTAAAGTGGGACCTTGGATTACAATTGTTGCGCGTCGTCGCTTTGGGATGTTCCGTGTTCATATTTTGTTTGTTGCGGTTGCACCCGACTAATAAAATGAAACTTGCACAGTACAGGATTCATGGTTGTGTTTTTGGTCAGCTCGCGTTAGTAAAATGTGTGCCGTAAACCGCTCCTCCAACAGAAAGCCACAATAAAGTGGTCACGTTAAAAAAAAAAAAACGTTCCAATTTCTTATTGCAGCATTTTAAATTGGTACGACGTTTCGGTGATAGTTACGAGCATTATTAGGCTGTTGCCAGAATTTGCTGGCGCGATTTGACTAACAAAAATATAATTTAAGAATCATAAGTGGTCGCAAAAGCCTAAGTGTTAAGTGTACAGCACATTCATTATTTGTTCATAATATCGCGGGGAAATATCTTGGAACTTAAAAAAACGCTGTCTTTCCGACAGTTATATTTCTTCACCTGAGGAAGGCTACTTGTGTTGTGGCCGAAACGTCGTGAGAATTGTATTGTATTATGTTTTATTTTTATTATTTCCCTTCTACGTGACTTTACCGAAAGAACCAAGAAGATGAAACACAACTAATTTTGTATGCTCACCATCCATAATGACATTAATTATATATCAGGCAATGCAACTTCCGTTCTGTGTATGCACATATAAATAAAAAAAATGTCCATCAGCCTATTGTCTTTAGAGACCAATTTTATCAGGTAGCACTCTGGACCAGCTTTGATCTTCTTGGGCTTATCAACAGTCAGGCTTGTTACACAAATGCTGCTGGATTATGAGATATTATCGGCAAGAACATTCCGTGCAAAAGATGGGGACCCTGTTCAGTGCAAAAGCAATAGCATAAGGAAACTCATGTGTTTCTGTGGAGCATTCATCATTGTTACCGTCCATGGTCAATTAACTGCTGGATGAAGGCCTCTTGAAGCCGCTACCACCGTTCACTGTGCCGCTGCAATATTATTAATAATTAACCTGGCACCTGCGCATGAACTGATTCTATCGGTGGGGAATTGATCATTATATTTAAAACTAAACGAAAAACGTTGTGATTTAAAGCTTTCGTGACTGCAGGGATTCATATTCTTGGTTCTTTCGGTAAAGTCATGTAGAAGGGAAACAATAAAATAATAATTATTGTTTTATATTTGTATTATTTTATTGTTTCCCTTCTACGTGATATTAGAAAGAACCAAGAATATAGAAAAACTTTTTATTATTATTTTACCAGTTAAGACCCACTGAGCTATACAGCTCTTTTCCAGATGTAACCTGGTAACAAATGATAGCTCAACAAAGTGGATTATCATGTTGAAATGTATAGCAGCCAAATACTGTAAACGCATGTTCATTCCAAATGTGGAGGTTAAAACCCAAGGACGTGAAGAAAAATCAATGCAAACTCCAAATATACAGCAAGCATCAGGGACGGGATCGAACCTACGAACTCCTGTATACCAGGCTAGTCTGCATCCTTATATGTTGGTTATCATGACGGCTTTTTGCAGGGCCTCTCTTTGAATGTGTCTGAAAGGAGCTGATCACTCAACCCGCTCCCAAATGCCACCACAAGCAGTAAGGTTTGTGGTAGTTGCATTGTAAATAAACAGTGTAATACCAACATCTGTGAATGATTAAACAAGTCAATGGATAACCAGCGACCGTACGTCTAAATATTGTTGTAATTATATTTAAAAAATAACTCTGCAGTCTAGGTTTTAAAAATCATCTTTAAGAAGTGATCTTGGCACACGTGTCAAGTAACATTGTGGATTTTCCACTTTTGATGTTTAAACAAAGCACGAAGCGGGTTGAGCCTTCACCACACTGTTATTTACATTTGAAAAAGCATGGGCTAGTAACACACCCTTGTTCTACGAGAGGGCACAAAAATGCCCTCTCGGAGAACAAGGGTGCGTTGTAAGAACCACGTTTTTATATTAAACATTCTTTCGTGATACTGCATCGGCAATGGTGCATAATAACACTCAGCAAAATATGAGAAGTGTCATTGCACTAAACACTGTTTGTTACTATGTATTTAGGTAAGTGCTTGGGTAAGTGTTATTTGTAGATTGCATGCCAATTCAGTTTCTTGTTTGAGTGCAACAATATTCTTCACAAGGAAGGAGCATTTGTGAAGTTCTCTATGTAATAGTTTCGTGGTGCAGATATTCATCTATTAAGTTATTTATAAAATAGTTTCGGGGTTCAAATATTAATCTGCTGGCATTGAACTCTGGCCAAATGTTTACTTTGTGAACTGCATGATCAATTATTTAAAATGTTCTACATTACTTGGATTGTGGGTTTTTTTAATCTCAAAATCACTGCCAACATTAAATGAACATGGACTCAATCAAAGCACACAGTGGCGTGATTTTAAACACTGTCCTTGTTTCCACTAACAAATTACCCATTGGCATTACGTTCAAGTACTTTTCATTTGAATGACGTTTTGTATGTGCAGTAGATTTTTCAGTTTTTATGACGGATCATTCTTGTATTCTTATGAATCCCTGCAGTCACGAAAGCTTTAAATCGGCACATTATTGTTAAAACACCGGGGCATATATCTACATGACAGCTCTTTATGATCACCTTTGACCCAGATAAAAGAAGACACAGTACTGTATGGCAAGGAATCATACAATTCATTTTCTTATTCTATACGTAGCATTCGTATTCCTATATACGTAGCTGTCCTATGTAATTCTTTGCAAATAATTTCTCACGCAAAAAAAAACTTAACATTAAATTACCCGCAAAATAAAAACAAAATTGTGTTCCAACTCAACTCAGATGGCAGCACCGTCTAAGCAAGCTGCGCCTAAAATGGCCACGTAACAAAAAGACGAGAGACACACAAACATTCAGGCCGGTACGGAGATTTATGGAAACCCACCTGCACAGCAAGCAGACTTAGCATCCACAGCAAGGGGCCTGTGCGTTGGCCCTGCATGGCTCAGGGAAGGCTGGCGACGGCTGTTGTCCGGACAAAAGCGGCGCTGCTTTCAGACCCCGCGACTTCCACAAATAGTCGACGGTGGAGCGAGCGTGTGGGTTCGCGGGTCACCCCACCGTGTGAAGTGAGCAAGGGACGCTCCCTGGCATTGCTTATAGGGGGCCCCGTGCCTCTCCGTGACATCACCTACCCAGCCCTGCGCCGAAACACACGCCCTGTGGTAAAAAAAAAACCTGCGTCCTCCACCCCCCCCCCCAACCTACACCACCACCACCACACCCATCCACCCACTTCTCAGAGATAACCCAAACTGCTGTCCCCCACCAAATATAAAAAAAACACTCCACCCTTACGCGCAAAGCCCTTTCCTTACGCCGCCCGTGACAAACTTCTCCGAGACACTGAGACACATACTGCACATTATTGACCAACATCAGCGAACGAAGGCCGTTCGTTGTTGGCCACCATCAGCCATGGCCTATTGAAGCTGAATGACGGCTTCCCTCCCCCAAGCCGTGACAATCCCATCCGTCTCCTGCACACACGGGCAAATGCAGAATCGGAAAATGTGTTTGTGCAGGAGGAATCCGATGAGCTACAAAGCTCTTTTTTTCACACGTCCAATCGACATTTCCCCCCTCCCTTCCATCGCCGTGGCGGGCATGAATTCTCGGGTATGCTCTCTACAGCGTTGCTTGCCACTCTGCCATGAGTTCTCGCCCACCGACTGTCGTCTGATTCGGGCGACATGCCCCTGCTAAACCCCACTTTGCTCTTCCAAAACAGCTCAAACGAACGTCTCCAAACCTGCGCGCGTGTTCTCAAATACCCGCGTGCTTCTCATGCCGCCTCTCAGCGCAAATCCACGTGTGCACCACCACGCTCTTAATTTGCGCACTTTTCAGCTTTTGTTCCATCAAATGTTTCAACGACAGTGTTTTCTGTTCCGCTCACACACACACACCCCCCACCGCACACACACATTATCGCTGTCACACTACCGCGCCCGGCAAATTGCCTCCGATGTTGCTTTCTTGATCGAGAAGCCCCGTTGTAGTTCCTTGCACAAGGAGCGCGCATGCCAACCATTCCACTGCGTCCACTGGACATCGGCTCCAGTGGCCTTGACGGGACCCGAGCGACGTTGACGTGTAATGTGACACTTGCCATGAAATATCCTATGGCCGCGCGTTAAACCTGGCATTATAGAAGCCAGCCCAATGTGTGCGCTAACAACTCGACTCGAACGCTTACACGTCCGCCCCCCCCCGCCCCGCACGAAACGCAACTTCGACGTGGGAGAAAAACCGCACAGCCCCCTACCGTATTCAGGTGGCTACCCCCACATATCACACACACACACACGCAGTGAACTCCAACCCATACCAAAAATATGCAGTGAACAGCAATATTCTATAAATACTACGTATGCTCCACTCCCACTGTCCTCAGACACCGAGTTATGAAACGACACGCGATCAAACAGACATTGTCGGTGCATGTCGTGGGACTGTGTTTATATTTCTGCAAATGGCATTAATTGTACTGATATGAGGCGGGAGCGGTGGCACTTTGGTTGGCACGCTGTGCTGTGAACCGTGCGGAACTGAGTTTGATGCTGGGCTTACAGCTCCACATGAGTGGCGAGCGGGGAAGTTTTATCTCTTGTCGGCTGCGTAACCAGATGGTACCAGATGTGGTGTGTGTGTCAATACACAGACAAAGAGTCCCCTGTCGAGCTTTAGGGGCCGTCCATAAATGACGTCACGCGATTTTTGACGATTTTTGACCTCCCACCCCCCCCCCCATCGTCACACGGCGTCACAAAAAGTCAGACCCCACCCCCCTCAAATATGACGTCACAAAGCTCTGCCCCCCCCCTCTCGTCACAAATGTCTGACCCCCCCCATCCCCCCTAGGTGCGTGACGTCATTTATAGACGGGCCCTTAACAGACTGTTGGGGACAAGTGCTGTCAGCGAGCACCTATGAAGGCCGGCACGGCGATATTCCACACCACACCTGGTACTCATTCGAGGCCAAGTCGACCTAGGGGGGGTCCGGGACCGGTTCAGATAATTGTCACTGTGGTGTTGATGGCCGTGAGCGGGAATCGAACTCGCGTGGTCCCTGGGTTCGTAGGGCAGCGCGCTAACCGCTACTACACCACCGCTCTCCAACACGCCCGACAAAGATCCCCCCGTATAGCCAGGTACTAATTTCAGGCTGAGTCGACCTAGGAGAGGCCCAGAACCGGTTCAGATAATCGTCACTGGGTGTTATGCCGTGAGCGGGAATCGACACACACACAGACGTGCAGACACGAACACACACAAAAGCAACATTCCTGACTACGGCTTGTCGAACTTCGGCACGACTGCCGATTAAAATCAAGAAGGTGCGACACGTCGTCGTCGTCGTAACGCAGCACCACGTCAAGACACCCTTGGTTCCATCCCCCCCCCCCCCGTGCTTCGTGTTCATGAGCTGCAGCAGGCTGACCCATCTACAGGCTGAGGATACCAGATACAACAATAACAACAACACCACCACACATTCACATTGAGAAGAGCACCGTGCCAACTTTTAACTGCCGTAGTCAGGACACCAAATCAGCCGCCTAGTAAAAAAAACTAAACACAAAATCCCAATGCTTCATTCACATTTTTACAATTAACATAATAGAATCACACCGACGCAAAGACAAAGCTACCCCTATAGCCTTAACAGGCTGTTTGGGGGCAAGTGCTGTTAGCGAGCATATGAAGGCCGGGAAGGCACACGAGGGGGTGGGTGACCAGCACCACGCCCGGCCGCCTTTGTCTCCCTCGTGGCGATCTTTACACACAACACCAGGTACTCATTTGAGGCTGAATCTACCTAGGGGAGGTCCAGGGTCGGATTTTAGAAAATCGTTACCGGTGTTGGTGGCCGTGAGCGGGAATCGAACTCGGGTGGCCGGGTTTGTCGCACAGCGCGCTAACCGCTAACCCACCGCTCCCCATTATCCAATTATCACGGTTGGCTACGTACGGTGCGAAAGAAGTTCAACATTACGCCCAGCGGCCTTTGTTTCGGTGGTGGCGATATTTTACATATCGCACCGAGTACTGTACACATTTAAGGCTGAGTCGACCTAGAGGTGGCCCAGGACACCACCAAGTGCTGTTAGCGAGTGGCACCAATGAAGGCCGGCACTGTGGCACACGAGGGGGTGGGTGGCCAGCAACCACGCCCGGCCGCCTTTGTCTCCCCAGTGGCGACGTTTGATACACCGCACCAAGGTGTACTCATTTGAGGCTGAGTTGACCATGGGGCGGCCCAGGACTGGTTCAGATAATCTGCAGGCAGCTGTCTCACACATGCAGACACAGAGACAAATATTCCCCGTATAGCTTTAACGGACTGTTGGGGCAAGTGCTGTTAGGGAGTGGCACCGATGAAGGCTGCCGGCACTGTGGCACACGAGGGGGGTGTGTGGCCAGCAACCACGCCGGGCCGCCTTTGTCTCCGCGGTGGCGAGACACAGGCGGCAGACACACACACACAGACACACGTACACACACACAGACACACGTACACACACACAGACACACGTACACGAATGTCGGCACATTCACCCCTATTGTACATTCGCACTCGATGTGCTCAGACCAAAAAAAACAATCTTGGCAGACGCTTTATAAAATGGCCTTTAATGCGGGTGTCTTTTTTGAATCTCTTGGAGAGAGAGAGACGGACGGAGGTTCAAATTCACCTCTCGCCGTGGACACGCCACACGTTGTCGTGATTCACAATCATAGAGGGCCCACGTAAAGCCACGATGTACAAACATGCATATCTAAAACAAAAACACGTTGATTCATGTATCCGTAAACTTTAGGATCAAATCGACGAACTATCGATGGATCACAGCATCGTTGGCACCTGTGTGCACCTAATAACAACGTTGCACAAACTCCCTCCTGTTTAGCATTCTCAGTCCTGTTTTTTAGTACGAGAGTGTACTTCATAACGTCATTGTTAATATATCATGGGACCTCCTTTGCCAGTACCAAAATATGAGAATAGGTTTTCCCCTTTTATCTGGCAACAAAACAGGTGTTAAGATGTTAAAACACCAAACTGAAACCTTTTACAAGGAATCATGTCTGCATTAACCACAATACTTGTGGTCAGAATGCAAACAAAAAAACGTACTCTGATAATATACGTGGCATTGTCTTTGAAACTGATTGGTCCACACCAGAGACAGCTTTCTTTTGAGCCTCGTCTCAAACGGCGTTAGACCAGAGGGCGCCACGTAGTTTGTTCCAGAATGATGGTGCCACGAATGAATGAGTGTGCATCAAGGCCGTAGCCATGGAGTCAACATTGGGGGGGGGGGGCAAATCTTCCAGGGAGTCCGGGGGTCCCCCCCCCCTCAGAAAAAAAATCTCAATTTGAAAACTAATTTCCTGCCATTTCCTGCCTAAAATATTAAAAAATTCACTAACACATGGGATGAACTTTTTAAAAATTCTTTACAATAATGTCTAATAGTGTTATTGTATTACATTGCTCTGTTTTTTCTCTTTTTTTTACCTTTTCTTGTTTCATTGTATGTAATGGCAGAGATTAGGGATTAATAAAGTACAACCATAACCACAATCATATTAACAGAAATCTATTTTATAGCGATATATTGGGGGGGGACATTTTGAGAATATTTGGATATTGGGGGGGATATGTCCCCCCCAATAAATATTATAATTACGGCCTTGGTGTGCATACGTTATGGCATGATAATCTAAAACGTAAAAATGTAGCATCATTCATATATGTTTTATAACTGAACATGTTCAATACCTGTCGATATAATGTGCCCCCGATTACGAAATGTATACATGATTGTCTATTGTCCATAATCTCCGATCAGTACGGTTGTTTACGTACAGTGCGAAAGAAGTTCAGCATACGTATGGTGTATCAGTTATTTTAATACTCTACGTGTAAAACATGTAATATTTGTTCGTCTTCAAAATGATGTACTGTAGAATGATGTCGATAGTTAAGGACATCTTAAATAAGTTATTTATTAAATCAGTTATTTAATATGCTGTCGATAATTGAGGATGCATTAAATACGTTTATTAAATACGCTGCCGATTTGACAACGCATATCAAGAAACAAACACAGCAACGT